CTCCCACTTCCTCCCCATAGTTACCTCTTCCCAGTTTCCATCCCTCCATGGACTCCTGCCCCCTAAGCTGTCTCCCTGTGCATAGGCAGCCCTTCTTTCTCAATGATTGTTCTCTCCAAGGAGTGTGTCTACCTCAGGTAAATGTTCAACTCATATGCCTGTCCTATACATCATTCTTAAAGCTTCTGAAAAACTGGGTGAATCTGAAGATAAGAAATGCTTTTTTCATAGATTATCATGGCTGGGTAGGTAACATTGGTCTCTCCAGTGAACAGACTATAGAATAGGGGGAAATACCAGACCAGTTTCCTAAAAAAAAAAAAAAAAAAAGAACATGATGGTGGGTTTTTATTGAGATAGATCACTAGTTTTTAAAATTATTTAAACTGCCATATTGAAAAACAGCAGACACAACAATTCAATGTGGATATTTCCCAAGATTTCATTAATTGTCTAATTTTCTAAGAGTATCTTTGGCATGATCAAATAGATGGGGTCAGGTTTGAGAGAGTATGACAGTATGTTTCTCAAAGATTGAAAGTTAGACACCATAATTGTGGCATATGTGTACAGACTAGGGGAAAAAAATGACGTGATGCTAAACTTTGTCATGGTTTAATATTGAATAAGGCAAAGGACCTCTGGTATAGTGGTTAAGGCATTTGGCTGCTAACCAAAAGGTTGTTGGTTTGAACCCATCAACTGCTCTGCGTAAGAAAGATAGGGCAGTCTATAAAGATTTACAGGAGCTCTGGTGGCATAGTGCCTAAGGCATTTGACTGCTAACCAGAAGGCTGGCAGGTCAAATCCACCAGCCACTCCTCGGAAAAAAGACTGAGCAATCTACTTCTGTAGAAATACTGCCTCAGAAACCCAAGGAAAGGTTGGAATCAACTCAATGTCAGTGAGGTTTTTTTTTTTTTTTTTTAAATATTGAAGAGTTGTGTTTTTTTTTTTAATTCTAGATTAATTCCTCTTTATTGAAAATAAAGACCATTATCTCAATGATAGTGTTAAGATGTGACAAGCATTTTTGCATATATAAATATTAATCACATTGTAACAAACAATGCTATTTTGAGTAGGCCACTAAATATTCTCTGAGATCAAGTTTCTATTATGCAAAATGCCAATGATGGTATCTTGAACCAGGGAACTGCAACAACTGAATCCTTGATTATCTTCAAAAGTGGCTGAGAGCAGGAGAGATTTATATCCCAATTTCTAATTTAAACTGCTTCTCAGGCTTAATGTCTTTAGGATTGAGAACTTAGGTCACCAATCAATTGAAACTAAAGATTTCTAAAACATCATTACATTTTAATTTGCTGATACTTCCATATTTGCCATAACCAGACCATATTTGACAAAATCATAGCCTCTTTCTAAAAAGTACCAGAGGCATGTTCTAAGTAATGTAGAGATATTTTGGAAGCCAAGACAAAATTTTACTTGATTAATTAAAAGTAAAATAGAGACTTTCCCTTGACATATCCCTTAGCTATGAAACTCATTAGCCACCAAAACTCTTCATTAACTGTGCTAGAGCATACACACACCAGCCACACCCTCAGCTCAGGATGTCAGGGTGGTATACATACTGCTGGATCAAAACACATGTTTCATGGGCCATGAGTTTACCAGGGACTGAAGATACTTATAAGAGTATTACAAAAGTTTTTCTTGGAAACATAAACTATATTGTGGTATGAAAAGGAAAGTACTAAGGACTCCATCATTAAGGCATGCCCTAAGTTTTGATTTTCCAGCAATTTTTCCCAAGACAATTATTACGTAGAGGGAGAATAATAATGATGTTTTTTTAAAATTCCTAAGCTCTTATACCTAACCCAGATTTCAAATTTGACTCTCAGATTTCACTAAGGAGGAAAACATTCCAGGCAGAATGTTGGAAGAAGAGATGCTAAGAGTAACAATGATGACCCATGGGCCTGGAAGATAGGATGATCAACTTTCTAGTTGGTCACGGACGGTCCTGGTTTTGAATCTGAAAGTCCTGCATCCTGAGAAACCCCTCAGACCTGGGCAAACTGGGATGGCTGGTGATTCTTCTGGAGGATAATACAATGTGGAAAGTAAAATGAAATAGGTTTAGTGAGATGGGTAGAAGGTATATGCCTTGCAGGGTTTTGCAAAGTAGGCTAAGGGGTTTGGAGATTATTCTAGGTGCAATCAGAAGTCATTGAAAGGTATTAAGTATCCAGAGCCCAAGGAGCCCTCGTGGCACAAACA